TTTATGATTGATAAGTACATTTGTATTAATTGCATGATTGATAAGTATATTTATATAATATTTAATTTACAGGGAGAAAATTATTGATTTTATAGTATGTATGAAACTATTGCTTGCTTTTGTTACATGATTATGTGTTAATGCTTGTTTCCGTAATATGATCATGTATTACTATTTGTTGGGGAAATAACATGGTAGTTCAGGAAACTCTGCATGTGGAGATTAACATATGGATAGGTAGTTCGAGACTTACTAACATGTGTTTGTATTTTTTATGTTTTTTTAATAATCTGAGGTAAGTACATGACAGTTTTTATTCAAAGGCAACTCTCAGTCTTTCAACATTGATCGCTCACACCCGTGACATCTATGATGTTCGTTCTCGAGTTCTCAAAGTATAATAACAATTCCTTTACCGTTGAGGCCACTTTGGTTCATGTCATGCTTGTTTGTTTTATGCGCTAAATCTTGTATACAATATATTCTCTAGTTAAATACTATTACAAGTATGATTTCTTGTTATTTTATGAACATAAAGATCACATTGAATTTTATTGTTCATTCATTATTTTCTTTCCTTTTTTTCAAATTGGCATTGCTCTCTAATCTCAGCCTCGACATTAAATAAATATTCTCGTGTTTAAATTATATCCTTGATTTTAAATATTTTATTTTATTTTCAATTTGTGACCCTGTAATTGTTTTATTGGACTAACTAAATTTATTTTAAATATTAATTTAGTTTTAAATTTTGTTATATTCTGAATTTAATCTTAACATTTAGGTTGAATGTGTTACGTTGACATATATAATGAAATTGGTTCAAATGATTCAATATATAAGTAAACTTTTGTTTGTTTTTTAAATAAAGATTTGAGTTGTTGAAGCGATCTTTATAATTTTGCTTATATATTATTAGGGTAAATTACATGTTTAATACTTAAATTATTATTTTTAATCTGAAGTTTTAAAAGTGACAAAATGGTCACTCCACTGTCATCGCCGTTAAATTGATGACATGGTAACATTAATAAAACGGTTAATATTTAGTGTTGTCCCTAAATTAATGCTAAAACATCAAATAAGTCATTGAACAATGATTTTATATATAATTTACCCCCAAACTTTGTAATTTTCATTTTTTCTAAACACCCCACCACCTCCACTATATTGGAACCACCTAGATAGCATAGCTGCCAAATGCAACGTCGTTCCACTTCTGAGTGGCTGTCCATATAAAATCAAGTATTCCTAACTCGGTCCAAAGACACTCGCCCATCGCCTCTATATCAACATAAGTGTTCGATTCACTTGGCTGGAAACCATAAAACAAAAACTTGAGCAAAGACATCACAAATAAGATAGCTGAAGAAGACAAAATAAAGAATTTCACTAGTAGTTTAATTACAGATCTAGGAGAAATAAGACCAATGAGAAGTAAAATAGGGAAATATGGTAAAAGAGATCCCATGAGAAGATAAGATTTACATGGTGGAAAGGTATAACGAATTTTTTTTTTTTTTTCTTTCTAAAGGTAAAATTTGTGAACGCATCAACTTAGGTAAATATACTAGAAAAATTAAAAGAAAAACACTTAAAAAGACCATAGTAAAGCTCAAAGGAAATTTACAGAATGCAAACAAGAATGATCAAAACCAATAACTTACACAAGTAAAATATGAATGAGTTTCAAGAGCATGTGATCACAATTTTCAACAATAAAATAAGTGAACAAAAAAAAGAAATATTGACCTCATGAGATTGACTCTAAGGTTGACCTTGAGCTGGACAAAGAGGTCAATAGAGTTGGCTAAGGTAAGTAGCATTGCCATGAAAATACAGCACAATGAGGCGTGCATATGGATTTTTCAAGTAAAGCCCAATAATCTTGTTCCCACATTTGGTGTTGATCAAAAGCACATCCAAAGAATGATCACTGAAAAAACAGTGTCTTTACTTACGATGCCAAAGCAGTGGCGGGGTAAGAACGTAGGAGGTACAAAGTAGTAGTGGTGATGACTGTGATTTATTTGGAAAACAAATAGAAATTAAAAGGTTTTAGGGTAAATTAGATATAAAATCATTGTTCAATGTCTTATTTGATGTTTTAGCTGTAGTTTAGGGACAAGACTAAATATTAACCTTTTTGTTAACGTTGTCATGTCACCAATTTAACAGAAATAATGGTGGAGTGACTATTTTATTATAAATTAATAATGTCAATGACCAATTTGTTAACTTTTAAACTTAAATGGAGAAAACAAAAACTTACTCAAAGACTATTGATTTAGTTTACCTAAATTTTTAACACTAATATTGATGTGATATTTAAAAACATTTTTTTAAATCTCTACATTATTTTCTTTATTTTTTTAATAATTTAGTGGCTTTTTTAAGTGATTTTACTCGATAGGTGGTGACAAGTCACTCAAGAAATGCGAAAGCAAAATACAAATGGCAACATTAGAACCTTGGTCTTCACGGAGTAAAGCCAAGCACATGATAAAATTTCACCGCAATATATATTTTACCTATAGTCATTTTTACCGTAAAACATAAAATTTTGATCAAGCTTAGAATTCGAACTTATAATGTTTAACTAAAATTAATATATATAGATAGGATTTCTTTGTACTCCGTATAAAATTTTTAATTTTACATATTTTTAGGACTATTGGATGAGAGAAATAAAATGTTGAGATTAACAATAAGAAATGAGAATATATTAACTAAAAAAGAACTTGGAGTTAATCTCAACCTTTGATTTTTTTCCAACCCAATAGTCCTAAAATGATGTAGAACTTTAATTTTACTCCGGGTATATATATATATATATATACTCAATTAACATTAATATTTAATATTTATACATTTTAAATTAAATATTATATTATTTTTAACTTTATTTAGAAAGTTAATCTAATAATTATGTATACATTTTTATACAATTAATATTTTATTATCATAAAATTATATTCTATAATAAATAGTTTAAATTTATATTTATTTAATTATTTAAAGATGTATAAAAATACTTTTTTATTATAAATCATGTAAACACCATTTTTAAATTTATATTCCATAAATAGTCAAATAATTTAATATTGATTAAATAAATATAAATTTTAAACCATTTAAAATATAATATATTTTTATAATATTTTTAATTTTAAATAATTTAATATTTATATTCTACCATAAATAAATATTATAAATTTAAATTTTATAATAATTTAATTTTAATTTTTTTAAAAATATATAAATAATTATTTAATTAATTTTTATTCATAGATGAAGTAATTTTTTTTTGATTTAACCGTTATATAAATTAATTATTAATATTACTGAGATTTGCATAGACTTTTTTCTAGCATAGTGGTTAAATTGTATGATATTTAAGTAGAAGGTCCCAAATTTGATTTTAGATTTAACTAAAAAATCTTTTGTTTTGTGATGGCCGTGTACTATAGATTATATATATATAAATAAGGAGTGTAGGACAACCAACACACTTTTACAAAATTCTCTGAAAAATTTAAGAAATCAAAATTTATCCGTTTTAATTGGTAACATTTTTATCCTCTTCTATCCTATCCTAGTTTGTTCCTCGTACATGAATCTCTGAGGTGATATTTTATTATTATTTTTCGTTATGTCATGTGACGTGTTGGTGGTCCTACCTTTATTTACTACTAATATATTATTGTGTTGTGTGTCAATTAAATATAAAATTCAGATATTAAAACGAAAAAAATAACAGTATATGTATTAAATGTATAATTTATTCTTTTAATATTTATTTAATAAGAACAATTTAATTGATAATATATTTCAGTACGTCAATTTAGTGGTGTATTACATTATGCGACGTGGACTCATGCAGATTTAGCTATAATATTTAGATTGAATTTAAGACGTTACATATATATAAAAGAGTAAGGGGTTTAACCGCTTTCATCTCTGCATTTTCGGACTTTGAAAAGGTAAATTATATCCCTTTCTATCACGATTTATGCTTCGTACATGAACCTCTAGGGTGATCATCAAATGTTCCATTATATCATAATTTAATTTTTAAATTTGCACTTTTTACTTCTGAAAACTTAGATAATACATAATTAAGAAAATATTATTTTTTAATATCGAGGAATACCCTAGTATTCTTCGTACGTAATTGATTTTTGAATTATGTGTTTTACTTAATTTAAAATATAGACGTCTAAAACTATACATTTTATAAATAATTTTCAGAAGAATCTTTTTTATAAAAAAATCGATACTTATTTCAAAATATTCAACAAGGATTATATTTTAGAATATAAATATATACTTTTTAAAATGATTGAATAGTTAAAATTAATTTTGATATTTTGAATTTAGATAATGAATATGTGAGGAGATAAATGAGTGATATAAAGAAAATAATCAATTTTAGAGAAAAGATGAATTGATGAGATTCTTATTTCTAAGTGACAAACCTCTGCTAAAGAATAAGACAAGTTCAAGGAAGCATTTAGGAAAGATAAATATTATTTTTTAATATAGTTTAAAATATATATTTTATTATAATGTTAATTTTTTATTAATATGGGGTAAGGTAAGAATATATATTTTTATAGTGCTCAAATTCGGATCCTTAAGGAATATTAATAATTCATTTATCACGAAACCATTTGATTAATGATGTTAAAATATTTTTAAATTTTATCAATTTTTTATTATATATAATTGATTTGATTATTTATCTGATATAGAATTTAATAAAACAATATCTACCTAGAATAATTGAATTATTTTTTTACCATACATAAAGTGTAAATAGAATATTGTTTACTTAATTTAAGGATAATCTGTCCCACGTATAAGATTTTGCCTCCTTTTTTTCATATTTACAAAGAAGGGCAGAGCGGTTGTGATGATCCGATTTCCCTCCAAGTTGCAGTATAAATAAGGGTTTACCCAAAACCTAAATCCCATCTCTGTAATCTCTTCACTCTTCAATGGCTTTCTGGGGTTAGTTTCTTGTACTCTTTGCTCTCGTTTTCTTCATGGTTTCTTTTTCTTGTAAAAGTGAAGCAACGGTTAACATTTTCCAGGAACCGAAGTGAAACCTGGGAAGTTCTTCACTCATGCACCTCTCTATGGAAGGCTTCATATATCCCAGGTACTTATTTTTAAACTTTTCTATTTTCCCATATCTGTTGTGTTTAATGCGTGCTTTTCAATTATCCGATATCAATTTTTTTTTAAAAAAAAGGCCATAAATATGTTTTGTCAGGCGACGTTAGGAATGGGTAGTGGAGTACAGAAAAGCATAGTTAAATGTATTGTTGGGTATAGTAAGCCGGTATTTCTGTGTAGTTTGTTTCCTGATAAGGCAGAGTGTTGTCAACTCAATTTGGAATTCGAGGAATCTGCTGAAGTCGTTTTCTCCGTTATTGGCCCTCGAGCAGTTCAGCTTACTGGTTACTATCTGGGCTCTTCTTCCCTTGATCGTCATCACAGTGATGGATCGTATCCTTTTTTTTTAAGTTTTTGAATTTACTTCGTGTTATTGGGTTCTTTCCTGTTGTTTAGAGAACACTATGGAGAAGATATTGCAGACACCGAAACAGACTGGACCAAGAGTAGTGAAGAAAGTGAGTATGGCGGTAGTTTTATTAACGATGATGATGATCCACAAGTATTCTCATCTTCTGAAGAATCTCCTGCTGGGTTTGGATGTATGTCTCACCACACCTCTTACATGGAAATTTTGACCATTTGTCCATTAAATTTAGCCTTTTTTGTTATAAAGAACAATAATCATCATTGATTCTGGTTAGATTACATCTGAAATTATTTTCTTTCTAATTTAAATGTCTTTTTTGGTGTATGAATTCAGCAAATGAAGAAATGCGAGGCTTAAAGTTTAAGGGTCGCTTAGGAAAGCGTAGGAGGCTTAGGAAGAAGTACCAGAAAAGTGAATCTGATCATGGAAGTTCTCGGCAAAAGGATTTCACCAATTGTTTTTCTCCTAGGGAACTATTTGTCAGTGAAACTGAAAATACATTGCCTATTTCCTCACTGTTTTCAGCAAAATGCGCATCAAAGAGCAGAAAAGACGATATAGGGGGAGAATCTAGGAAATAAACTGGTAACCATAACAATAATGAGATTGAAGATAATGCTACCATGTTAGAAGGAATTAATGGTGTTCAACTTGAATGGTACAATTGCTGTATTTCTTCGACAAGAACTGATGTATGGTAATTCTACCTTCTCGTTTGATTGTGGATCTAGGAAGGAAGCAAAACCACCTGCACAAGTGAATGGCTCAAAAAGAGAGGGTTAAGGGTGGTGGACGTATGGTGAATAGGTGGGCTGTTTAAAATGAGAGATGGAAGCGGAAGATGATTGAAATGGTTATGGTTATGGCGATGAAACAAAAGAATGGTTGTGAGGATAGTATCTTGAAGAACGCTCAAAGAAGAACCAATGCTATAGAGAGCAAAGACCCAATCTTTATATTGTTTCTTCAAGGGGTGGTGATAAGTACTTTAACCCACTAGTTATATGAATTAGGAACCAGAAGTATCAAGATGAAAGAAGAGGGTTGACGCCACAAGTATAAATTATACTTGATAAGTCGATAAAAAGTCACCAGGACTTAAGGAAGAGAATAATCTCACTTTGATTAATAAAAATGGTCTTCTCAGTTCCTCAGCTACTCTCCCAGCTAATTCCAGCTACCTCTAGTCCACTTTTCAGCAATTTGGTCTAAAGCTCTCCTCCAGCTAAGTTCAGCTACATGCTAGCTCCTCCAGCTAAGTTGAAGCTTCTTATGTGATGAAATGAGCTGCCATAATGTTCACGAGCTAGTGTGAGCTGCTATGCTTGTCCTTTTAGCTAACCAAGCTACCATAATATGCCTTGCTTTGTGTTTCACCTATAGGAATCACCAAACAAATAAAATAAGTAATGTGTGAGCTTATTTAAGGTAAAATGCATGCTGCCGTGAGCTGTTTGAGTGATATAAGCTATGAATGCATGTCATGAGCTAAGTACATAATGATATAACATATGTAAGCTAGTGTGTAAGACCTAGGAGCTAAAATGAATGCATATGAGCTAACAAATGAATGATTAAGCATGCTGCCATTTCATGAATGTATTGAATCATGCTTAAATGGATGTAAGATTAATTTTACATACTTATAACATTGTGTATCAATCATAAAGATCTGGGTATATGTTTTATGCATGAATATCATATAACATGGTATTTATAAATGATAAATGTAAACATGTAATAATAATATCCTACGAAATGATATGTAATCATAGCATATATTTGAATGATATGAAAGACTTGATCAACTAAGCATATGATGGAAATAATAATATGATAACTTATACTAACATGTGAATGCATGCTTATGATAGAATAGAATGTATAAATGATATAATATAAGATAGGGTAAGAAAGAACTCCCTTAGAAACATCAATAAAGAGCATCCATGGTGTGTTCAAGTCATGGAGAAAATTGGAGCTAGTTTGGATCGTATCATCCTCCCCTTCTTTTAGGCGATTTGTCCTCAAATCAAAGTAGTTTCTCATTGAATACCTTCTTGATGTAGGAAGGATTGAATCCTTATGTTTTCCTCCAATAGATGATTCACACGATATGTTCAACCTCTTGGCTTCAAATCTGGTAACTTCACATCCTTTGATGGGAGGACACAATGTTTGGGAATCATCACATGTCCTTTGAACAGGAGAGACATAGCCCTTCACGAACCAACTTGATCCCTTTCCTTTATTCTTTGAATCATCACAATGCTTGGAAAGGACCTCTATATCTTCAATTCCTCCTTTTAATTCACCATGGTTGTTGGTGAAAAGGTTTGTCTCTTGGTTGGAGTTATCATGTCGCTTGGTGAAGATAAGTGTTCTTTGAATGACTTTTTAGGGTTGATTTAAATCATCGTGTCCTTTCACCATTGTGCCTCTCCAAATGATTGCCTTGAGGGTTGGTATGATTTCTTCACCATAAGGATGAAACAAGTTGCTGCAAAATAAATCAAAGTTAGTAAATGAAAAATTATTAACAAGATGAATGGAAATAGCAAACCAGGGTGGATGTTTAATGGGCATTGGTTGCTTAATGATGTAAAACTCCATTGGCTACTGAATTCCCTTCAATGTAAGCAATGTATTTGGATCCTGAATAATCTCAACTTTTGGTACTTCAATTGGCACATTCTTTTGAATTTTAAGAGCTACATCTTTTGAAATGTCAAAGGACATGTCTTGTAGATCACTAAAAGTTACGTCTATTGATTCTTCAAAAGACATGTTTCTTGAATTTTCTACTTGAAAATATATGTCTCTTTGAATATCCTACAAGGAAAAAAAAGTAGAAGAAGATTTGTTAGGTAAAATTTGTCCTTCACTCTGTTTCTCTTCTCTACACTCATCCTTTTCAAATATGCCATTTTCAGTTTGCTCTACAACTTGCAAAACATCCTTTTCAACTTCAACAGATTCATTTCCAATTCTTCTTGTCTCCTCAAAACATTATTCTTCAATACTTTTCTTCATGGCCTTCGTTTTCTCCCATTCTTCTATGCGTGACTTAAGGGTCACTTGACATTCATGAACTTGACTGGGAAGCAAGGGTGCCAATATGATTTTCTTTCCTTGATGTTAGAAAGAATACTTGTTTGAAAATCCATCATGGGTAGCCTTCTTGTCAAACTGCCAAGGACGTCCTAGTATTAGGTGGCTTGCACTCATGGGCACCATATCACAAAGAACTTCATCATTGTATCTTCCAATTGAAAAAGGTACAACAACTTGCTTGGTTACCTTGGCTTCTCCCACATCGTTGAGCCACTGAAGTTTATAAGGATGAGGATGTTTGGAAGTCTTGAGACCCAAATTTTCCACCATGTGAGTACTTGCTACGTTTGTACAACTTCCTCCATCAATGATCACCACGCAAATTTTATCTCCCACGTGACATTTGGTATGGAAGATGTTCTCTCTTTGTTCATCCTCTTGACTTTGAATGTTCAAAGTCCTTTTGACTACAAAGATGTTGGATGGAAGAGACATGTTAGCAAATAAGGAAAAAAATGAAATGTGTGTAGGACCTTACCAGAATGTACTCTCACAAAGCCTCACGAGTCACTCCAAGGAAACTTGATGTCACTCAATCCGCTAGTGTTTGCACTCTAGGACTTTAATGGCTTTTACTTGTCCTCTTCTGATCTCACACACGCTCCAGCCTTTTTCCTCTCGATTCTCTTCCTTAAGTCCTGGTGACTTTTTATCGACTTATCAAGTATAATTTATACTTGTGGCGTCAACCCTCTTCTTTCATCTTGATACTTCTGGTTCCTAGTTCATATAACTAGTGGGTCAAAGTACTTATCACCACCCCTTGAAGAAACAATATAAAGATTGGGTCTTTGCTCTCTATAGCATTGGTTCTTCTTTGAGCGTTCTTCAAGATACTATCCTCACAACCATCATTTTGTTTCATCGCCATAACCATAACCATTTCAATCATCTTACGCTTCCATATCTCATTTTAAACAGCCCACCTATTCACCATACGTATTGGAGTGACTCGTGAGGCTTTGTGAGAGTACATTCTGGTAAGGTCCTATACATATTTGGGCAAAATAAGGGTTAAGGGTGGTGGACGTATGGTGAATAGGTAGGCTGTTTAAAATAATAGATGGAAGCGGAAGATGATTGAAATGGTTATGGTTATGGTTATGGCGATGAAACAAAAGGATGGTTGTGAGGATAGTATCTTGAAGAACGCTCAAAGAAGAACCAATGCTATAGAGAGCAAAGACCCAATCTTTATATTGTTTCTTCAAGGGGTGGTGATAAGTACTTTAACCCACTAGTTATATGAACTAGGAACCAGAAGTATCAAGATGAAAGAAGAGGGTTGACGCCACAAGTATAAATTATACTTGATAAGTCGATAAAAAGTCACCAGGACTTAAGGAAGAGAATAATCTCACTTTGATTAATAAAAATGGTCTTCTCAGTTCCTCAGCTACTCTCCCAGCTACTTCCAGCTACCTCTAGTCCACTTTTCAGCAATTTGGTCTAAAGCTCTCCTCCAGCTAAGTTCAGCTACATGCTAGCTCCTCCAGCTAAGTTGAAGCCTTTTATGTGATGAAATGAGCTGCCATAATGTTCACGAGCTAGTGTGAGCTGCTATGCTTGTCCTTTTAGCTAACCAAGCTACCATAATATGCCTTGCTTTGTGTTTCACCTATAGGAATCACCAAACAAATAAAATAAGTAATGTGTGAGCTTATTTAAGGTAAAATACATGCTGCCGTGAGGTGTTTGAGTGATATAAGCTATGAATGCATGTCATGAGCTAAGTACATAATGATATAACATATGTAAGCTAGTGTGTAAGACCTATGAGCTAAAAAGAATGAATATGAGCTAACAAATGAATGATTAAGCATGCTGTCATTTCATGAATGTATTGAATCATGCTTAAATGGATGTAAGATTAATCTAACATACTTATAACATTGTGTATCAATCATAAAGATCTGGGTATATGTTTTATGCATGAATATCATATAACATGGTATTCATAAATGATAAATGTAAACATGTAATAATAATATCCTACGAAATGATATGTAATCATAGCATATATTTGAATGATATGAAAGACTTGATCAACTAAGCATAGGATGGAAATAATAATATGATAACTTATACTAACATGTGAATGCATGCTTATGATAGAATAGAATGTATAAATGATATAATATAAGATAGGGTAAGAAAGAACTCCCTTAGAAACAGCAATAAAGAGCATCCATGGTGTGTTCAAGTCATGGAGAAAATTGGAGCTAGTTTGGATCGTATCAAGAACAATAATGAACTTAAATTCAATAGCTAAGTTAACCATATTGAGAAGAGGATATGCGGGTGCAAATTATCATCTGTTTTATCATATGGCTGTTTGCTTCTTCAATCAAATGTATTTGATTGTGTTGTACTTTTTTCTATTCCTTCTTGCTTGTAGTAAATCAGGGATTAGGAATGTAGATAAGCTTGAAGAGCTGGTAAGGGAGGAAAGATTACCGGAAGCTGATCATTGTGTGGTTGAAAAAGTGGTATTGGACCAAAATGACCAAAATCAAAAGCTGGCCAGTATTGAGTCCGTGATGTACTCTCTTTAGAGAATTATCTATTGCATGAAATCTGTGCATCCATGTTTGTTTACTTAGTTGTGTCATTTGTAGCACTGGTATCTGATATACTGCAGGATATGTCAATCTGATAATCTGTTGTTGACACCCAGTGAAGTGGGTACTGTCGATGGAGCTAAGCTAATTCGGAAAAGAAAGGAACACTTTGAAGACAATGATACCAAAGGGGATGAGGTCTCGAAAAATGGTTCGAATTTAAATCCCGTTATCGAGGATGTACTTATGGAGGATAAGGAAACCCAAAATCATGTTAATGATAAGTAGGTGTTTCTCCTTTTTCCTCAATTTCAGTCTTAAATGTGTGATGTTCACATTGTTTTCTTTTCTTGAAGTCATTCTAAGAAGAGGAAAAAGAAGAAAAGGTGCAAGGATGAGGGAGAGGAGGATGGTACGAAGATGGAACCACCAGCCCCTGAAAAGGAGCAATCTGTTGGCTTGAATGACAAGAATAGTAATGACCGGGAAATTCAGCTGTCGAATATGATTGAAGAGTTGGAAAAGGGAAAACCAAATGGGAAAATAGCTTCTCTTGGTAAAAAGGCATGTAGTATTTTATCCCTGGGGTTTCATTGGATGAAAGGAATTGTTATTTTTCCCCTTTGGTGCTAAATTATTCACAAAGTTTTGTTGCTATCAGGTCCATGTCCATTACACCGTAAAGTTGAAGGACAGGGGGGAAGTAATTGATTCAAGTGCTGACAAAGGTCACTTAACGTTCCGACTAGGTAACATCTTGTTCTTTAATCATGCTCTGTAAATATATTGTTGTGTGTTCAATGTTTAGTTTTGATCAAATTAGATTCTTCTGCAAATATGTTTGGTTTTAAACTTTTTGAGTTGGAGTTGTATCTTTGTTGCTATCACAGTTGAGGGACAAGTTCAAGAGACATGGAAGGTTGGCATTGATGGTATGAACTTTTTTGTCTTTTGAAGTTGCTTATCACTAAGTTATTGGGGTTTGAATTATATATGTAATGATTTAAATAATGATGATTGGTAGGCATGCAAGTTGGTGGCAAACGTAGACTCACAGTTCCACCATGGGTGAGGTATGTGAAAATACTACTCCATGCTAGTTTGTGTATTTTTGTATGGCTCTTGAGTTTGGATTGGTTTGTGTTGCAGTACAAAGGAAGGAAGAGGTGAGAAAATTCCACCAAACTCGTGGCTGGTTTTTGAAGTTGAATTGGTTAAAGTCAGGTAATCGGTTGGCTTCATACGCCAGTTTTGTTGAGGCATTCATACACCATGCCGAGTAAATGACCTTTTGGAGATCACATCTGAGTTTTAACTTTTTGGTTTTGGGCTTGGATTTTATATTGCGTTGCTTAGAAATGGTTTAAACAGTTCGGATCAATAAAAAGAAGTTTGAAATTCATTATGTTTAATATTTTAACCTGTATCCTACTAGTTGACATGGGTACATTCAATTCAGTAGGTTAATCAAACATGCCATCCGTTACCATAAGTAAGCAAACTTGTTATAATTGTGTAATTGACAAAGAATCATATTCATAGGTAATTAGTTAAGTACAAATTAAGTGATTTCGGATGTTTGTTATATTTAAAGATTTGGGTTTACGCCTTAGACTTGTAAAGATATTTGAGTGTTTAAATGATTGGAAAATTTTTGAACAAATACTATTTCATAATTATCACATATTAATACAAAAAATAATTAATTAACGAGTTTCTAAACACTCTACAAGATGTAACAAACAGGGCACTTATTTTCTTAAAGGTGTCATGTATCCTGCTTTAGTAGAATCTTCATTTTTGTCGTGCAATTGAACTTCAGAATTCGAGTAAATGAGGCAATGCGGAACTTTGGATTTGAACCGATCAACATTCATGATAGCAATGACCCTTTCTTTCTTTCTTTTTTCCCAGTTTTGATTCATTATTTTGATTTAATGAAGTTCAATTTTGCCATTCATTGAATATTATGTTAGCAAATTATATACATATATAAAACTATTTATCGTAATTTTAATATTTTTATTTGTTTATTAAATTTTCAATAATAATATAAGCGGTTAATTTTCATTTTTACCCACCCATTTATTTTGGAAATATTTTATTAGTTTAATATTTTTCTTATGATAATGATAAATATAAATTATATTGATTCATTTTTAATATAAATTATATATTTTATTTAATTAATATAAATAATATTTTTATTAATATTATTTAACATAGTTTGAAGATTTTTGTAACAATATTTCAAAATATGAACGAAGATTCAAGTATTATAGAGTATTATTTATGGATTTCCTCTTTTGATTTTTTTTGTTTTGTTTTAAGGTTTTTTTTAAATCTCATATTTTTTTCATAGTTTAACTTATTTTTTGGTTGCTTAATTTTTAAGTTTTTTTTTTATGTTTTGTTTGTTTGTTTGGTTAGTAAGAAAAAGGAAGAAATGGAGAGAAAATAAATGAATAGGTGAGAAAATAACTGAAATCTGGAATTGATTGGGTCATGTCAAGTTAAATTGGTTTTTAGTTTAAATTTTGGGTTGGGGTCGGATCAGGTTTAATACCCCAAATTTTGGTTAGTGACCAAAATGTAAATTTTGAAAATTTGATAGCCAAAGTATAAACTTTGGAAAAGTTTAGGGACCAAAAATGTAATTTTTAAAAATTATATATTTTGGCCCATAAATAAATAGTTTACTCTGAAATTAAAGTTTTCATGGAATCTAAATTTTGATTCGATATTTATATTAAAAGAGATAAAGTAGTAAATTTCGATAGGAATTCAGATAATAGGATCAAATTAGAATTTCGAGAAATTTTGAAGGATGTTAGAAAAAGGTTGGAAATATTATTTCCATGAACAGTGAAATTTAACATGGATTAGTGGAACTAAAGTTCATTTTCCATATTAAGCCAAAATCATGAAATTTGGAGACTAAATTGCAATATTCAAAAATTGCATGGGCAAAGGTCGAAAGTCAATTTGTGTTGGTTTATGTTTGACTTTAGAATATTAAAATGGAAGATAACGTATTGACATGGTTGAAATTATTAAGTTTCATTAATGGCAAAATGGTAAACTAGTTTTAAATGAATTTTAAATTTATTTAATTATTATAAAGCCATGTGTATTGTGATAATTTTGTGGAAAATTCAATAAAATAGCCATCTTCATCTTCTCCAAACTGTGGACACCATTGCTAGGTAAGGGAGGTTATTCAATTTGATTTTTAAATTTATTCGACTGATTTTTGGGTTAAGCTTGATAGAGAATTAATCTCCTTGAAATTAAGCTATTAGATAGAGAATTAATCTCCTTGAAATTATCTATCATTTGGTATAATTATTTCATGGAAAACATGCTTTGATGATGAAATTCATGATTAGGGTTCATGAAGAACATGTTGAATTTTGAAGAATTAAAGGATGATTTTTATGCTATTAGTGTTGTAGATTAATTTCCAATCATGTGTGGTGATTAAAATTGTCTAAAAGTACATATATAAGATTCGACCATAGCTAGGGTTCATGGAGATTGTTGAATTTGGATTGAATTTGATGTTGTGATGATTGGAATTTCATGAATTTGATCATAGGAGCTTGAATTGAAGCTTGAAATTGAATGAAAGTCATGCCCTAATTGCTTAATTAGGATCGACCAAGATAGAATAATTAGGGAAAATTATGCAAAAAAATTTATATGATATAGAATTGATATTAGAACGATTCTACATGCTTTAGAAGTTGATTTGGATCAATTTGGAACATTGTGATAGAAAAAGGGCCATTTTGCAAGTTTTGGAAATTATAGGACATTGAAGTATAAATGCTCAATTATGGGTGTTCATTTCTGGAATTTAATGTTTAAATGCTAAATTTGAAGTTAGAATATTGTTTTGGATCAAATTGAAAATTTTGGGAAAGTTTTGTGGCTAGCTCGAAAGTATTGAATAGTTTTGGGTTGCATAATAAGTTTGCAAATATTAAAGTATTAGATTGAAAATATTATTTCAATTCTGGAAATTTTAGTATTGGATTTGAATTGAATAAAATGGTGAAGGACCATTTTAAGGTAATTGGAAAAGTTAGTATGAATTCTAAAATAATTTATAAATGGTGACTAAATTGTAAGGTTTATAAAATTGAGTGATTTGATGATGAAAATGAATATATAAGGAATTGAAGCGTCATTTTGGAAAGTGTTGGAGTTGTTATGAAATAGTGAAGAGATATTATATCAAATAAGTATTGAATTATATTTTATGAATTTAATTATTGGATTTTGATTGTGTTAGTATAACACTAGCATATACATTGACTATTGTATTTTATGCATGATTTTATTTAGACTACGATAAGTCTTGAGATTGAATCGAGTCGGAAGCGAAACATCATGTACAAGATTAAAAATAATATCATTGTAGAGGTTCGATAGCGAGGCAAAGGTGAGTGCATTTTTTTTATTTATTTATACTGATTGAGAAAGACTTGCGATAAGTCAACCTCAGATGGCTTTTAAAGAAAGGTTTGAATCAAATTATGAAATATTTCTATAATTTTTACTGAATTGATTTATGATTTACTTTGGGTATGAATTACACAATATGTTTTATATGATACTTTTTGAAAGGGTATTTGAATAATTTCCCTAAAATGATTTTTGGGCATGAACTGCCCAAAGTATTTTATATGATATATGTATTCTAATTATGAATGATTTTGGGTATCAACTACTCAATTAATACATGCATCACAAGGCTCACATCAAAGGAATAAGTAATAACTCTTCCAAATAATCCATTTGTCCAAGCCTTGGAAAAGAAGACCAAAATAGCATCATACTTGCGATGTTTTTTTGAATGAGATCCTAATCTTATTTGGTCAAGATGTCTTCTGATTCTTATCTTTCCAACGTTCTTCAATCACATAAATCCGATATCGGGAACTCAAGATACATTCATTTTAGTGAAGACAGCGCATGTAGAAATTCCTATACGAGACTAATACGTGATTTTGTAAATATTACGAATTTACAATATTTATATTGATTATTTGTAATATAATTTAATATAGAATGATGCATTATATTTTAGGATTATATTTACTATTTTATTAGGAATTAAGGTTAAGTTAAAACTTTATTTTTAGTTATTATTATTTTATTAGGAATTAGAGTTAAGACATGTTTAGTTTGTTATTATTTTTAGTTATTTAGGACCTTTAGAACTCATCCCCTATATAAAGGAGACTTCATTCAACTTTGTAAAACAAATTTCTTTGATTAATAATACTACAAGAGTTCATTTTTGTAAGTGCTGATTGCCTTGTGCCTTCGAAGCTTCTTCTCCTGGAGTTCTTTCAAGTTCTCCTGAGAGAGATTAGTCTTCACACTCTAATTTGCCTTTTCATCGCGACTAGGAGGGTTGGTTACAGCCATATTATCGAGTTTTCCTTTTCATTATGACTAGGAGGGTTCGATAGGACACTTATCTATCTATTTTCCACAAATCTATCCTCATCCTCATCATCTTTATTGTTAACCTTCACAAGGGAGCCACCTTTTACTATTCATCCCCCTTTGTTCGTCATCAATTCTAGAGCTTTCTAGGTTTGATTCTTCAACAAGAGCAACGTTCATTAATCCGCCACCACTTCCCCTATCAATTGGTATCAGATTTGGGCCGATTCTTGGAAAGAATCAAGCAATCTTGCTTGTTGTTGCACACAAAACCACCAAGGTACCCCAACAGAGCTAGTTCGTAGAAGATTCATCGTTTCAGTTTCTTTTTGTTTAAATTTAATTTAAATTCAAATCATTCTTGTTAGTTTGTTGTTTTTCATAAAAAAGGGCCGAAAAATCAAAAAGCCAAAAAATCAAAAAAAAATTGAAAAATTGAAAAAAAAGTAATTTAAGGATTATTTTCTCCAGATATCATATTCATCCTAATATTAATATGCATCCCAAAATTCAATCCAATCGAAGTTCATTAGAGCCTTCAAATACATCGTTCAAGTTTCATCATCAGATTCGATCTAGAATCTTGTTGAATTTCTTGAAAATTCTACAGGAGAAATTTCATGGTGAAACTTTACATATTGAAACTAAATATATTGAAGATCATTCAAACAAAAAATCAGAAATTTTAGAGATCAATAACATCTTCGAACAAAGCGATCACGAAAAACAAACTGTTTGAGGACTCACCGTTCAACAGAGTCTATTGGATAGTACTGAAGGTATGTGGTTCTGTAAATTTACAGGTGGTTTCTACACACATTGAACGACATTCAAGAAATTTTCCAGAATTTTTGGACATCGGTAAACCCCTCAAAAACGTTGCTCAAGTTGACCAAGCGTTTTTTAGGTTTATGGTTTGGTTCTTTTTCTCTTTGACTCTTAGTGCTTTAGGTTCTTTTGTTTTCCTTTTTATTGTTCTTTAACATTATCTAACACATTATCTTCCTTGTGTTAGTAGGACTAAAGAGTTTGCATACTTCTTCCTTCTTTGCATTCTCATTAGGTGTGTACACATTTAGTCATTTCTTGCAATTCTGTTTTGATCACCCACCTGCACGTTGTTTATTTTAAAGTCATACCTTATTACGTTTTGATTATATTTTGATCACTTACCATAAAATTAACGAACAATGACGTGTAACAATAAGATAATACAATACCATCTTTGAAAAAAATAAAAAAGAATTGTCACTCACCAATTTTATTTATTTTTAACGATGTATAACCAAAACAGAACCAAAAACTTAACGTTATGTATGATTTTGAAATAAAAAAAATTAGGTGATCAAAACAAAATTGTAGGAATAATTGGTGATATGTGGTTTGCGGAGAAGACCATTGCTTTGGGAGGCTGAGATTGCATGGGCAACTGACACTTGGAAAGGTAAGTCTTTTACTCACCACTATCTTGAAGCTTGCTTGGTGTGCTCATATTTACACTTTGTGGGAGGAGCAGAATAGCAGATTTTTTAGGGGCTGCTCTAGAGATGCTGTTGCGTTGATAAGTGCTATAAAGGAAATAGTTGACATTAAATTGAGGGTAGAAATATTAACAGAATTGATAGTGTTAATGTTACTCTTTGTAATCAATGGGGTATTGCTTAAAAGGATGTATGTGTTTTGACTGAAGAGAGATAGTTTTGTATTCAAGTTGATTGTAGCAGATTTATCTACTTCTTTTGAGTAATAAAATGATTTATCCAAAAAACAAAATGTAATTTACCCTAAAATTATTGATGTGACATTTTAAAATAAAAAATATAAATTTAAAAGTCATATTTTATAATGACATTATAGTAGACTTGGATTCAAATTAAAATAAAAAAAATGTTGTTTAATTTTAAAAAAATAAAGATAGATAAATTTAAATTTAAATATAAATATAAAAACATTCATAATTTTAGTGTTTGAATAATACAAAATTATTGTGCTTGGCCTTAATAAATTGATTTTGTTTAAAACTTAGCCATGAATTCAAAAAGAAATTTTAATCTCGAACTGTAAAATTTGACGACGAATGGCACTCTGGCTGATGACCATATATAAAGGAACAAAAGAAAAAAAAAATTTAACTCAGAAACAACAATCTAAAGAAAACCTTTTATGATATATATGGTCATAAAATGTAAAATTTACAATTATCATTCTTATAATAAAGCATTATTTTTAAATTTTAAATATGAATTCTAGTTTAGAGTGTACCCTATCATTACTGAAACACATGTTGATGTATAATAATTTACTCTGAATTCGATTCGAGTGTAAGACTATTCGAAGAAAAAATTGATTCAAATCTAATTAAAAACAGTTGGAATCCGAAACACTTGAAAAAATATTTGAGTCATAATAAGAGATGGGTTAGATATGGATCATGTTAGGATCTAATTCGAAATCAATCCAAATCTATGCTTGATTAGAGTCTAATCCATATTCGAATCCGAAATAAAACATCTAGTATTTTTAAATTTTTTCCTAGTGCCACCGCAGACCATTTACTTAATGATTCAGCTAATAAGTGGAACATTCTCACCTTCACTTGTCCCTAAACAGAGAACCAGTAACAAGATGATAGCTGGAAGCATCTGGCTCACTCAGTTTCCCAGATTTGCTTTCATATTCCTCAACCAGTTCCATCCTTTAATTGTTCAAACAACTCATCATTTAAGAGAAAAGCAAAACCTGGAATGGAAAGATGGTATATTTTCATGCATTAAACCTAAATTTGTATGAACATAAAAGGGTAGTTTCGTCACCAGTAGGCCAAACATTGAAATGGATCATATTGCCGTAAATTTCCTCAACATCTTTTGCAATTGTGTTGTTAGAGCAGTTCCCCTTGCCATGTACCTGATATCAAGAAAACAATTAAATAAATAAAAATTAATTAGAGTTGATTAACAAAATAAAATTATTTAAAAAAAAGGGTGAAAACCTGTTTCAAGTGTCTGATTGTTTCAGTGTCAGATGGAATCCTCTGATAGAATCCAGCACACATCAATATATTGGAACAGACAAAGGGGCCAAAGCCTTTGATTCCCAACAACTTTTGATACAAAGATTGGAAGGCTGTTGGGTCGGAAGATTGTTCGAGTTTGGTGATCTCATCCTCATCAAGTTTCCCATTGGCAAACATTAAAACAAGTCGAAGAATAGGGGCAGCTCTATACCCAATATTGCAGCGTTCTTCTAGATACTGAGCATCAACCCTAGCCCAACATACCAGCTCTTTCCAGGTCGGAAAATTTGCTATACACTCCGACGACCTACACTTTTTTGTTGATCTTTTTCGCTTCGAACGAGCTTTCCCATTATCCAATGCTATTTCTCGCTGAAGATTGCAGAGAGCCTTAGCCATGTCTAATGTCCTTTTCCAGCTTCAGGCATTTTAAACACATCAAAAGTTGAATAACTTCCAAGTGAGGGATGTAACTATAACTAGGATAAAATATTAGGGTAATACATTATCTAACTTCAAAACTATTATAAACCTAATTAAATCATATTTAAACCATAAAAAATATTATTTAATTTATTTAATTTTAAAATTAGGAGAGACCTAACAAATATCCAAAAAAATAATAATTTAATACTCAATTTTAACTATGTTTTTTTAAATATTCTGGGATGATTACTAGGTAGTATATTCATAACTTTCCCAATCTATTAATGGCGTACACACCCTATAGACACCACTACTTAAACCCACGATATCTAAGGAGATCAACATTTTCTTCTATAACTGAGGCTACTTCGTAGATTCTAATTTAAGTAATTTTAAAATTGATTGAATCTTTTGTTTAACATCAACCTGATATGATATTTTTGAAATGAAGAATGAGATTGAAATTGAATATTTGGAGATAAAATTACCAAATTTCAAATATTATGAAGTCAAATATTGTTTAAACCATAATAGACCTAATAAGTATTAAAATAACAAACTAAATCGATGGGACTTAAAAATACAGTTCAACAAGAAAATCTAGAAGGCCAAGAATTAATTTAACAAAATATAAAGCTAACAATATTTATACCAAAAACTATATGACTATTAACAATTAGTTGGCGTAAGCAGAATGATACATTTGATATTATTAAAATCATCTTATGATAAATATTTCAAATAATTAATTTAAACTAATTATTTAATAAATATATATTTAGTGGGTATGCATTTATGTATATGTTTTTATGTGTATTTATAGTAATAAAGGAAATTGAGTATGAGAAGATACGATTAATATGGTTTCCAAAAAATAACATTAGCTAGGGTATTCCTTTTTTTATTTTAAAATTTGAAATTGTGAATGGCTTCTAACTCACCTTTTTTAACCAAAAAAGTAAAATAAAATGGAGTAAAGAATTAAAAGGATATGGGGTAGAAGACATCCAAAAAAACAAACACTAACATCATCACCATTAGAGATTTCATTGTCATCACCTTCTTCATTAGAGATCTCATTGTTTATATTAATGAGAAAAATAACATAATAATATTAAAAATAAAAACATACCCGCAGTTGCAGAGGAGGAGAGACTTGACAGCATCTTCGAAAAAGGAAGGAGAACGAAATATTCGACCGAAACCTCTCTCTTTTGCCAACGAATGCATTGTTTGGAACTCCCTTACATCTCTCTCTTCTTTCTTCGATATTCTTAGCATTCTTCCGACTTTTTTCTGTATACATATATATTATACTTGTTCATTTATATGATGATGATGAAAAAAGAAAAACACATACCAATATAGCTGCTTCATCAGCAGAGGACGAGAGAGAGGCATCAGCTTGTATAACAAGGAAAGATTGGTTGGGAGGGTGTGAGATGGTGACTAAAACGGAGCGATTCGAGTCCGCCAGTCGAAGAGGACGACGAAGCGATTTAGTTGAAGGGATCCAAACATTCGGAGACATCATGAACAAACCATGATTGCACACTGCTTTCTCCATGTCGAAACTGCCTGAACACTCCCCTAGCGCTAGCTTTAATTCCATGCCTATCGAGTTTGTAGGAAAAGAAAAAAAAGATTGTTTTTACTAATAAATTCATTCAAATCCAATGAGAATTCGATATAAAAAATAAAGAAAGTTTACCTTTGATTCAAGTTCTTCGCAGACTCATAAAATTAGGTTTTGCAGCGTTGATTCGTTATATATAACAAATATGTTTGTGATATACGTCAGGGTTTGCATAATTGCTTTGGATTTCTTTTTCTTTTCTTGCTTAAATAATATTTTTATTTAAATTTGTCACATTGACATAATGAGTTCTAATAAAATATAATTTTTATTAGATTTAGTCACGTTAGAGTGAGAAATTCAATAAAAAATATATTTTATTGAAATTCTAATAAAAAATCACTATAATAAATACCGTAAATTCTAAATTAATTTAAATACTTAGATTTTACTTTTAGTAGTTTAGTTTATTTACGTTACAAATTTAAAAATCTAATTTCAATTCTTAAGATTATTAAAATTCTAATGTTAAATTAATTTATTTGATATTTTGAGAAAAATATTAATTACATAGTCATGTAATAATCAAACTAATTTTATAACGAACCTAAATTTAACAAAATAAATTTTTGCGATATTAACAGTTTACCTTAAATTTTAAATTTAAAAAAATAGAAGAAATAAATTCTTGAAATCTAGACAAAATTTATCACCTTATCAAAGGAAATTTAGATATAACATCCCTAAAATTAATTTAATATTTTTTTTACTTCCGTTGATCTAAAAACATTTCTTTTGATATTTAGTCTAAGTTCTAAATCTTTATTTTATTTTATTTTTTGACTGGAAAGAAATGAAACAATCCAGTGAAGCATATTGTCACGTTCTTAGAATTTCAAGTAGCGGAACCATGCAACCTTAGACGCTTTTTGGAAGGCAACGCCTAAGTGAGCCTGAACAAGCTAAGTAAAAAGACTTAGAAAGAAACGTGGAAGCAAACAGATCTTCGAAAGGAAAATGCCCCACACACAAGAACAAGAGAATTTGAGAGAATACTTAGCTTTATTCCTCAAAATTGAAGTGAAAGATGAGGTGAGAGTAAGCCTCTATTTATAATTGAAGCTCCCTACATCCAACGGGTGAAATTAAATACAATCAATGGCTAAGATTAAAAGGAAATCTAGCTAAATCTTTATATTATCTTTATTTTAAATTCAAATAAAATATAAATAAATAAAATATAAATAAATAATAATAAATAAATAAGAAAAGACTTATTTAAATCGGGCTAGCTTCAGCTAAAGTGGCCTAGGATGTTCTTCAGACTCCTTTGGTGGCCTAGGATGGCCTTGGTGGTGTCCTGACTAGTTCAGTCCGCACTTGTCTCGGTCACGGGCTGGCGGTCTGTGACATTCTTCCCCACCGATTCTAGCGACGCCCTCGTCGTACAGCTAGAGTTGTACTGCTCGATCTTATCTTTGAACTGCCAAAGTCCCTTGGCTAATCCCAACTCCCCTCACTGTCGGGCAGTCCCTTCCACTTAACAAAGTATTCATGCCTTGGTCGATGACCGGGTCGTCAGATAAATCTCTCTGCTGGATCTCTCCAACTTCCTTCTTATGGGAAATCTTCAGTCCAAGTAGTGCTCGGTGTGATGTGCCTCGATTTGGACTCTCCTCATCTTTGTGATAAGGGTTAAGTAAAATGACATGGAACAAAGGGTGCACTCGGATAGTTGGAGGCAACTCCAATGTATAGGCCATGGTGCCTACTCTTTTCAGAACTCGGAATGAACCCTCATATTTCCGCACAAGCCCTTTGTGCACATTTGGGTTGCGCAAAACATTGATAAACTTGGCAAGGACAAGATCACCAACCTGAAAATTCATATCCATGCGCCTTCGATATGCCCACTTCTTGGTTCATTTTCCCGCCTTGTGCTAACAAGCCCGGGCCAAGTCAAGATGTTCTTGCCACTCACTGGAAAACTTGTGTGCTGCTGAATTAGGACCCTCATACTTGGTAACAATCGTGTTGGGTGTCAACATTGCTGCCCAGTCATGACCTCGAACGAGCTTTGGTTTGTTGCCTCACTCTGTTGTAAATTGTAAGAAAATTGAGCCACATCCAACAACTTCGACCAATTATGTTGTATGGCACTCACATAGTACCTTAAGTAGATCTCCACGGAGCATTCACTCTCTCAATCTGCCCATCTGTCTATGGATGGTAAGTTGTGGAGAAATTCAAGTCTGATCTCATCAGCTTGAACAATTAGGTCCAAAGTCTCCTAGTGAATCGTGTGTCCCAATCAATAATTATCGACTTTAGCAACCTCAATAATTCACCACACACTTGAGGAAAAGACGTGTTGCTTCTTTGGTTAGACACACCTTCGAAGCCAGAATGAAAGTCCCATACTTAGAAAACCTATCAACAATAACCATTATACTGGACAACCCATTAGTGTTCGGTAAACCAACAATGAAATCCATGGAAACACTTTCCCATGATCTTTTAGGAATATACAATGGTTGTAATAGCCCCGCCGGATTCTTCATCTCTATCTTGTCCTGTGGGCAGACAAGATAAGTCTTCACACAGGTTTCAACATCATCGCCCATGTGCGACCAGTAGTAGTGCTTGGCCAACAAAGCTAAAGTCTGGTTCATCCCCAGATGTCCCGCCCATTGAGAGTTATGACACTCTATCATGAGTGTTTAATGTAATTATCTATATTGAGGAACATAGAGGTGATTTCCTTGTGTATACAACAAGTCTCCTTCGAGCCAAATCCTTGTAGTTTTTCCCTCTTTGACAAGATCAATCAATGTTTTGGCCATCGGGTCATGGGACAAGCCCTCCATAGCACAGTCCATAAATGTTCCCTCAAGCAAGCCAATGAACTCTGATAACTCCGTAAAAAAGACTCTATTTCTAGTCTTTTTACTTAAGTTATTGCTCGTCTAAAACAAAGTATGCACATCATATTAGTTGCATTTAGTTGTATTTAGGTTATATTTGTTTGTGGTGGATAAGTGTTGTTTAGGCAACAATTATTTGGTTTGACTGATGCTGTCGATGAGAGAGGGCTTGTTTGGATTGTGTATGTGCAGGAAATTAGCTAAGGAATAACACTTCAGTCGTGACAAAGCATTTCACAAGGGCCGGTGGAATAGATAAGATAAAGATAGTGAGGAGCAGATTTATCTCGCTAAGGCAAGGTTTATCTTGCAAGTCTGAAGTGGATATGGAGAATTTCCTATGTCACATGCCAGCTGTATGACTACCCTCAAGTGCAAGCAAGCCCTCAAGATTCTGACAACAACTAGCCGCATTTCTTTTTTAGCCTGGACAAAAAAATAGCCTAGGAGATTTTCCTTTATAAATACCCAGCCACAGCCGCCAAAAAAAAGCAAGGAAGTTAGAAGAGCTTTAACTGAAACATGAGCGAGCAACTGGAGTGCTTCCCCACCATTTTACAATCAACCGTCTTGGTGTCCTCCATATCCAGGCTATAACAGAGCGATGATCATGCCTCGAAGAGAGGCTGGCACCTAGGGCAGGCGCAGTGTTGATCAGAGATGTCACGACTGATGAGTGTTCAGAATCATTAATATTTACTCGTTGTTTCTTCGATCTTGTGGATTTATTACTGCTGATTTGGTCGTGTTATGCTTATTTTCGTGCAGGTCCTTAATTTCAAGAATTAGTGACAAAATGGGCGCATTTTGCATTTTTTAATTATTTGGTCATGGTTGGAGACATGGGCACGACTCTGGGCACGACGCAGTCTGATATAGCAGTTTCTAGAAGGTCTAGTCAGTAACAGTTTCTATAAGATCTCCTCAGCATGCCTTCTGGAAAATGGATGAGCAGAGTTGCATTAAGAGACTAGTTTAAAGTTTGAATTTAGGAAAAACAATTATCTTTAGGATTATTTTATTTTTATTTCTTTGTTTATCTTTAGGCTTTGAGAGGCTATAAATACCCTCTTGGGGTAAGCCTAAACTCATCACTCAAATTACAATATTCTTTTCTCTCTAGTTTTATTAAAGCTTTCTCTTTTTACTTTTCAAGTTTTCATTTTTCTTTTATTTTCAAGCATTATTTTTAATATGCTAAGTATGACTTTTTTCATGCTTAGCTAAATTTTTCATAAGCCGAGAGCTGAAGTGATGACTCAATTCCAACAGGAGAATTAAAACAAGGCCTTAATATCTTTGGAATATCTCTCTCAATCTCTGCGCTTATTTTTCAAAATCAAAAAAGTTTTCAAAATCAAAGATAGACTTTGGTCTAAATTGTTGTTGCGATTAAATGCGTGGGAGGAAGATAAGGCTTATAGAAAGCACATTCAACTTCCTGGGAACACAATTGGTGAGATAGCTTCGCTAAGAGGGATTTGAGATCGAAATTGACGGTTATAGAAGCAGTAATCCGAGTCAGTCGCCATGAACTTAAACGGAAATTGATCTACGACAATTGATGTTGATAGAATCAATTTTCGAAGTCGGAATCAAAGATTGCCCTGGGTATTCGATATACAAATAAAGTCACAGGGATTGCCCTTGTAGACAAAGTAACTGACGTGAATCCCGAAGGGAAAATCTAATTCGATGATCTAAAGGAAATTAAGTCAAAGCAAAGCTTGAGGCTGTTTTTACCATATATATTTTTCAAATTTAAAATCCTTTCTTTATTTTTACTTCAAATCGCCTTTATTAATATTTAAAAATCTTTTTACCAAAACCCCCTGTTACTACATTCACGCCTAGCTTAAACAAACTGAACAGAAAATTATAATTTTTTAAGTCCCTGTGGAATCGACCCTTACTTCTCTTTACTACGCATTTTGTTCATTTATTAATCAGGAAGAAGGAATTTTGTTTGACATCGAAAAAGACAGTTGTCAAATTGGCGCCATTGCCGGGGATTTCGCCTAAGTTACTAATTTTTTGTTTGCTTTTTATTTATGACCAGGACTAATCCGGGTGCATTAGTGGAGTACGACCGGAGATCGAAGCCAAAGCTAG